GAGTGTTTACTCAGATTTAAATGAAGGCAGCTATTCGTCAGAGTAAATTTTTCTATTTAAAATCATCTGTTATGTTCTTTTTAAGTCTTCTTGTATGTATAAATACAACCAGACAACGACATTTAGTTTTGACAAACAGAAATCGAGCTCAAAAGCATGCACTTGTAAATGCAGTATGCAAATAAGTGTATTTAATTGTAGTGTTTATATCACAGTTAAGACAACTACAGTATTGAGAAAACAAAGAGCATAGAGAAAAATGTTTGGCATGACTGTAGAAGTCCACAAATCATCATTTTGAATCTTTTGAAGCATTGGCACAGAGGAGTGTGAAACAGAAACAGAGATCATGAACAACCTGCAAGCGCCCACTCATAGATGTTCTACGCATCTTGCTGTGACCGGTCTTTGTGTACACAGCTATAGCTTCTGGGTTCCACTTCACAGCATAGTTGACCCTGGTTATGGGAGCTGAGTGTTTGTGTGACTTAATGGATGACCTCAGTCACAGAAGGGGGTGGCAGAAGGTTAGCAACAGTAAGACGGAGGGAAGAGGAACTGTGAGGTGACAGAGAACGGCAGGTTTGATGGCTCATGCAATAGACACAGCTGCCACAGAAGAAAGTGGGATGTTAAAGAGAAATCAGAATGTTTGCGGAGGTTTTGAAAGTCAGAAACATGACAAACATTGATACAAGATGGGAGGCTACAATATAGAATATAATCTAAGCTTTATTTTAAGTAAAACAAATATGAAACAGATTGGATGGCCAGACTGGGTCAGTTCATATCTGAAGCACACTCAAGGGAGACTCATGACTAATTTCTGTCTGGGCGGATGGCAACTCATCACCCCACTGATCTTGGGCGTCACCAGCAGTATGACCAAATATCAGCAGCACGGCACTTGTCCCTAATGAAGTTGCCATAGATGGATGCTTTAAAGACCCCCTGCTGAGATCCTTACATGACCCAGTGGAAACAGATGTCTCTTTGGTCGGCCTTTGCCGAAGCTTCCTGCTCATCAGAAAGATGAAAGCAATTAATCATCCGTGTTAGTTCTCTTTCAAATGGCTTCAGAAGGATGCGGTCGTACTCAAAGCCAGGGTCAAAAGGGGGTTGAGAAGGGAGAGAAAACATCTGTGCTTGTGATAATAATTTCACGTGTTAGCAGTGATTGGTTGCAGACTGAAATGACCTTCTACAACTATAGCTAGTTTATTAACAGATAGAAGAGTTTCAACATTTGTATGTCTAGCTTAGCCTTTTTAATGCATTTTAAGCCAAGAGGTTTCTTTTTTTTTATTAGATGTTAAGGGTTTGGCTGAAAAAACAACAACTAGAGTTATTAATGGGACATTGAATAAATGTTTTTTTGATAATTTAGGGAAAAAAAAGTGGAAAAGTCACTGTATCCTTCTAAAAAGCATTATCATGGGGCGCCTGTAGCCTAGTGGTTAGTGTGTGCTCCATGTATGAAGGCTATAGTCCTCCAAGCGGGCAGCCCGGGTTCGAATACAAACCGTGGCTCCTTTCCTGCATGTCATTCCCACTGTCCTATCTCAAAATAAAGGCACAAAAGCCGCCAAATAAACCTTTAAAAAAAAAAAAAAAAAAAAAAGCATTATCATTTTGAGGGCATGAACTATTTGGTGAAATAAGAGTGACATTCATCAAATAGTTCAAAAAAGGCAGACGACACCCTCAAGGAAAAGCCGTTTTATGTCTTTTGGCAATTAGGATCTAAATGGGTAATAAGGTTTGAGTGCAGCTGGCATATCAGTCTTTTTTATTGACCATGTGCCCCCTCTGAAACCATTGAAAGGTCGAATATCTTTCAACTTTGAAGCTGTTTATCAATTCACCATTCTAAAGCAGACGTGATGACTTTGACTTGTGTGAGCAAGTGCAGTTTCTATCTTAGACTCTTAGCAGTGTCTCTTTAAGCTTAAGCTCGCTGAGTGTGATGTAAAAAGTGTGGTAATGAAAACAGAATTCCATTTATTGAAAAGGTACCACAATAAAATCCATTCTATCCTGTTTTGGTTTCAACTATTTTGCTCTTTGACTCGTGTGAAATAGTTCACAATAGATTTGTGAATGAGGCATTTTATCAGAGTTTCCTTTTCTTTGACTGAAATTCTAATGCGAATTTAGTATTTACACTCAATTGAAAGTCACGATGGATTACAGTGTCACCTTCAAGGACTACGTATGGCTACAAAGACGCTAGTGACAGGGCATAACAAAGTGCCTCATTCCAAGTCATCCCCAATAATCTCTCCTGTCTGTCACACACCTCAAATCCAAACACTTACAGTGTACCTGTACTATCAGCCTACAGCCTTACTTTGGGCTGTATCACAAATAATTCCTGTGTCCTATAAGAGTGCTTAATTCCTTTGCTTTTACACCTATGTTTACCTCTACCTCTAGTTATTGGGATTTGTCACATCAGTCACAGTATGCAGATGTTCTTTGTCTTCAGACCTATGTCAGATGTCCTAAGTGACCTGGTTCTGAAACTGTGACAGCGGAAGTTGTGATTATTAAAACCATTAAATCAACTCAAAAACTATAGAGGGGAAACAGCAAGTTTCCTCTCTTTGCCAAAGTGGACAGTTTTGGACTAGCTTTGCACAGTGAATCTCAAGAGTTCAGAAATTATGGGGCAAAAGCTTGCATAAGAACTTGCCAAATTCAGAACAGCAACTTTGGTCATATAGCCCCGAGCTGAGGGAAATTGGCTTTCACAGCACAGATTTTAGGTTTATCAAACTCAAAAGCAAAATACCCCCCCCCCCCCAAAAAAAAAAGGAATCCCAAAATGATTTTGGCCTTGTGGCTTAATGCATAGCTGAAGGACCAAAGAGATAAATTTTCATCTAAGGGTCTCGTATTTGTCTGAGAGTAAACACATTTTCCTTATCCAGTACTTGAAAAGCTCTAGGCATCCAAAAGTGGGCTCTACAATTTAAAATCAAAACAAACAAAAATAACACCAGAAAGAACATTATTACGGGAGAGAATCGATGTGTTCATAAGTAGGCGGAGGAGGAGGAGGAGAAAACATCAGTCAATCCAGCCTTTTAACAAGGTGTTCCAAAGAGATACACACAGGATTAAAAAAAAGAAAAACACCAACCATTGTGCTAACTGTGGCATGTTTTCAGTTATTATATGGAGACTTGTTTAATAATTACACAGAGCAACAGCACGGAAAAGAACTTGAATTGAGGTAATACGCAGTAATGTTGTCTCAAACAGTGGCAGATAATTATATATTGATGAGTTACGCAGAGTTCAAACCAGAATGGGTTATCATTTTCACAAGTTTCAAGAATCAGATAACGCAACAAAGTGCAATGAAGCCAAATAAAAACATAGCCACTGCCTCACCCCCTTTCTCTCTTCCATCTATACAAAATGTTTCTAGCAGAATATTGTGAGAAACATGTGTCAAACAAGTCTTTGTACTCAGGTGCAATAATTAAATCTCAATTACACACAAACGTGCGCACACAATGCACGTAATCGCTAACATTTCTCGTCTCCTGCTGGTTTTGCATTCAGACTTCTCTTTAAGTTTAAGCCTAATGTGTCAACTGAACATCCCTAATGTGGATTAGCTATGCATGGTGGTGGCTGCCAGGACTCCTTCCCTTCATAATGTGATACACCTCAAAGTTCTGCCATTTGTGCCATTTGTGCCATATGTGCGCGTTTTGCCCCTGCACCAACATGAAACCAAGCTCTCTTTATAAGAAGACGATTTGAAGAACTTGCTAACAGGTACGTTTATACAGGCATGCATGCTTGCAGTGTGTCAGGATGAAAGCAGCTGGCAAACATTTAGAATAATGTTTGTGTATGTGAGTTCTTCAAATAAGTAGGAGACCGCCTGACCCGTTTGCCTTTAAATCGAAGTCATGATGAAGCGACTGGACTGTTTGTTGTGTAAAACTGCTGACTGTTCATGCTTGGAGTGCACTTTTACTAATGAGTGATAGGCAAGGTGTGGAGATTTGAATGATTTAGTTGAGAGAACTAGAGATCCACTGTAACCTAGTGGTGATTTGTGCTCGCCAGGATATTGATACAGCTGGAGCAGTGGTGTGTCGGAGTATCGCTGAAGTTAGACATTTATAACCACGTTAGCACTGCATACAATTTGATTCATGAAACAGAAACGTCAGCTCTTGGTTGAAATCACAGCATGCACACTCCTCATTCCAGAGTCACAATTTGACTGATCATTGAATTAGCTGAAGGATAAAGTGAAACATGATTTAGATGACAGAGTCTTTGGATTACTTAGTACTTTAAGTATGTTTGCTGACTTGAGCTGAATGTGTTGTTTTATCAGTATGGCAGAGCACACAGAAGAGATGAACACAGCAGCTGATAAGATTGTTTACTGTGTTTCGATCTCATTGCTTAGCTATTTTGTCTCAGACTGGACCCTGAGCTACAGCCTTCAGGGCCATGCTATAAATGAATTCATTTTTTCATGTCCATAGTTGGCTGATAGAAACAGCACGATCTTAACAGTTATTGATGCGCCTGGCAACAGCTACACAGCTAGAATGTGTTACAAAACAATATACTATGTTTGTTTGTACATCTGTATTTCTGTTGAAATGTTTCAACATGGAATCAAAGTCAAAGCCCCACTGCTACCTTAAAAGTGCTTTAAAGTGTGCCTTGCAGGTATTACTAAATGAGTGAGAAACATCTTCAACCACAATAAACAGTCTCTAAGCAGCATTGTTGTCTTTCACTATACAACCTTAACCAAAAGTACAACGTCAATTTGTGTGATTAAGGGAAAACCGTCCCTTGTAGGCGTGACACTCGATCTCAGTAAAATGGAAATATAACTATTTTCTGTTAATAAGCAAATGGAACCTCAAGCAATGGTTTCCTTTTTTTGCAATATAAGTGGTAAAAAAATAAATATACAGAATGAAAGACGGTGTGGAGTAACAGTTAAGTGGTACCTTTAAAGAAGCAGTCCTTGCTGTGCACCACATAGATCCGTCTCCTCTCCAGGCAGGCGGTGCGGTACACCTCACAGTGGTTCTCGTAGAACCTGCCGTCCGAGCCACACACCGGCACAAAGGAGGGCCGGCATTTTTCCTGGCAAACACACTCAGCACGGCCAGTTTCTGCCATCAGCACACACTGTCGACCCCGTCCACAGTAGGTCCTCCGACAGGGGCCTCCGTCCGTGTCAGAAAGGGCTGAAAGACAAAAAAATGGTTTGTTTAGCACCTGAGCAGGAGTGGAAAAGTTCATAATATCTTACAAAGTGAGAACAACTTTATACAGTATATCCACAATATAACTTGTCCTTTTTATTCAATGAAACAATGACAGGCACAAGATAAAGATCAGTCCATGTTGCACACTTAAGAAGAAAAAACAGCCATCTCATCACAAATTTTGGGTTAAGAGGGGACAGTTGTGTGTCCTCAAACCTCCAGACAGTCATTGGAGACCGATCTCTTACCAAGAAAGAAAAGTCTTGCTGCACGATAAGCACAGAGCAATTTTAATATAAAACTGCCCCCACAACAGAAAACAGTTGGCCCTGATTGCCACCTGAGCAGGACATGGTTTCGCAGTAAAATCGGTCAAACTCAGTTTGATTGTCAGTGTGCTCCGCACACGTCAATACTGATGCATCCTGTTCTTTAAAAAAATTAATAAAATTATAAAAACATTTTGATAGATTTTTTTATCCCATTAAATGTACATGCACATATAAAAGATTAACAACAAACTAGAAATAAGAAAAATTAATCTGTATGCACCGTAAATTAAAAAAAGAACTGAACCCATGCCCAACACCTCCTGTTATGATCGCAGTTATAACACAGTGCTAACAAGGAGCAGCATTTTATATTAAGATGATCTACCTCCATAGAAATCATACAGACAGATGTCCTCATTAACACGTCTCAGTAACTTATTCACACATCTGTACACAAACATACCTGAGAGTGAAAGTGCACCCAAATGCACACACTCACAGTTCATCAGCTGCATGACAACGCTCACACGCGCACGCACGCGCGCACGCACACACACACACACACAGGTACATAAAGAGGCATGCACAAATGCACACGCCAGCACGACCATCATCACCACTCACTGCCCAGTACTCCTCTTCTCTTTCTCCTGATTTAATCTATTTGCACCTAAAGTGAGTCAAAAATTTGCTGATGTAGCCGGACCCTCAGCCTTGGATTGATCTTTTCTGACTCCATGAGCTTGACCAGAATCCCCCCCTCCCTGTTTTGAGCTGAGGGTTGGATTTATTAGACCCACGTACCTGGGGATTTAGAGTAAAAAAACTCCATGTTAAGGCAGGCTGAGCAGAGCATTTGTTGCCTCTCAATCAGATCTTGTGAATGTCAGTTCTATTAAATGAGACAAAAAATGTAGTAGAAAACCTGAACCTAATTTAAAAATCTTTCGTACCACTGTGGGAAAGCTAAACTCAAGCCCTATAATACCCACCCACATAATATCAAAATGATTGGCAGAAGCTCAGTTTGTTTGACTAAAGATTAAAGATTTATGTGGAATCTGTATACAAATACATACATAGTAACATGCAAACACGTTTATAAAATGATAAAAGAACAGATACATTTTGCATCTCTAAGGACACAATAAATTCACCCATTCCCAACCCCTGAACATAGACACACAACAATATCAGTGCTGTTACAGAATACTTAAAAATGTCAAACTCAAAACAGAAATAATTGCATTTCAGAGTTTGTCCTTCAAAAAGCATTTTCCTGCTATCAAACAAAGGGGATTTCAGTCGAAAAGCAGATCTTCCGCCCTTATTGACCCAGTGAAGTTCAAGTGCTGTTTTCTTCTCAAGCATTCTGTCCTTTTATCATCTTTGATATTAATAAGCTCTTAAATTTGCCGTGGTTTCCATGGCAAATATAAGAGCTGGTGGCCATAGCAATCTGAGAATCTAATTGCACCACATGAATAAACTTGATATCAAGGTAGTGAGAAAACAACACAAAAAGAATGGCGCACTGTTATTCAAAGAGCTAAAGAGGAAACTAAGCCTGTAAACGAAAGTCTAAAGGCTCTTCCCTTAACTTTGCATTTCAGATACGGGACACTCCGAAGGCTGTTTTGCTATTAAAAGGAAATGAATACATATCCCAAAAGGCACTTGTCTGGCCATTGTGTGGACGCTGTTGTAAAGGTTGAGTCGGTTAAGATGCTGAGAGGGGGTCAGTTCTATTATCCCTCCGTAGGATAAGGTTAAAACCATACTGGCTTAACTTAAAAGAGCCCAGTCCGGCCTTTTATAATCAAACTGCTGAAAACAGAAATTGAATTTGCCTGGAGTATAATCATATCTCAACTCTCAGCATATTCAATAATAGAGGTAATGCGCTGTTGTCGGAGGACAAAACTTCCATAATCACATAAAGGCAATTCCAGAGCAGACACACACAGAGGCTCATCAGAGCAGACTCAAGAAAAAAGGAATACAACCATTGCAACCTTTCTCCCTTTGAGATGTCAGCATGCATACACGCATACTGTGCACTCTCGTGTTCATTCTCTTTTAAATACAAAACGTCTGTGCTCGCAAACACAAGCGGTACATTGTCAAATACAAACACTGGAGATACGTCTTGAACAATAAGCTCTTCTAATCATTTTCAGTAAAAAAATAATAATATTAATAATCAATTAACTGTAAGTGATTGATATTTTCATTTTCTTCATGTAGCTTCCTTCATTAATTTAGCTTCTAATCTCTGTAATATCAACACTTTTCAAAGCTTTAAGTTTTTGAACTTTTAGTAGACTAACCATACTTTTAAAAAAATAAGAAATTGTTGTTTTGTTGGTTTAAAATGTTTCCAAGCCTCAATCCTAATTATTTTTCTACATGTGAGGAGGGGGCAACTCTGCTGGTTGAAAAAAGAAAAATTGGTAACACTTTACAATAAGGGTACATAAATTAACATTAGTTAAGGCATTATTAAGCATCTAATGGTTACTAACAGTTAACTAATGTGTCTAGTAATCATTTATTAAGGGTGTTCATGTTAACTACGGTATTAATTAATACATTATTTAATCCTTATTAAGGATGCTATTAACATTAGTTAATGCAGTAATAAGCCTTAATTAACAGCAAATTCATACAATAATGAACTTTAAGAAACCCTTAAGAGATGTCTCTTGTTAACATTAATTAAGGGTTTACATGTTAATTAAGCCTATTAACTAATATTACTAAGTGCTTGATAAAGATGTTCATTTAGATGCATGTCTTGAGGTTCACAGCTAAGTCATAGCATTAAGACAAAAGTGTTTGTTTTTATTAATGTTTATTTAAGGTTAATGACTGTTCACTTACTTATCCATCCTCCAACTGGTGACTTATTTTTGGTAAAGGTTGAGATCAGTGGACCACACAATGGTCTTCATCTAGACGATAGATTGTTCCTTTAGCTTCATAGACGTTCTTAACTCACATGCCTAACCTATCATTATTGTTGATGTTATATAAACATTACATGATTAACCATTTATTGATGCTCTGAATAAGCATTACTTAACCATAATTAACCATTTATTAATGCTCTGGATAAGCATTACTAAACCATTAATAAAAATAAGAGAAAAAGCAGGGGATGCTTTGGAGCCTTGCTGCAAATGAAATATAATCACTATATACGATATAGAAAGTTGTTATCAAACTATTCATACAAATATGGACACTTCAAACTCCACGGAAACAAAGAACCAGCCAAGAATGCCAAACTCAAGACTTCAAAGCAGAAGTCAAAGTCTAAGACATTATTTGTATCTAAGTTAAATACATTTTGGAGACCGGTCGGTTTGAAATTATGACAAGTGTCAGCAATGAATAAATACACACAGCCCATAGATATGAAGCATTAACGTTTTCTTTTCTATAATTAAGTTTAAAAATCTGCGAAAGGAAGCTTTGGGGTTAAGGGTTGGCCAGGTAACTACTCCCTGATGAGTGGTGATAGTGGGGAAGTAATGACACCCTCAACTCCTTTTTTTATCCAGTGTACTAATTGTTTTGCATGTCTCTGCAAAGCATCTGTGGGAAATGCAAAATAGCGCAGCTCCCTTGCGACCTTGCTGTTCATGTCAAGGTCGGGGACGATTACAAGATCGTTTGTATTCTCCGAGCGTGGGAGATTAAACGCTTAGCAACATCCGTCCAGCGGCAGTAACCCACCGGTAGTTGTTCTTCCTTCTTCATCCTCTTTTTTTCCTCCCTTCTTGCCTCCCTCTTCCCCCCCCCCCCCCCTGCCCTTTCCCTTTCTGTTCAAAGAAAGGAGTACATGAACACTAGCTACTCAAACAACAGAGACAATAGCATACAAAGTTACATCTACAATACACAAGCTGTGTGACATTTAGCAAAGTCCAAACGCTCCCGTTCATCCTCACTGTAAGTCCTTTGTTTTGTGTCTCTTGGACCGTGTTGGCTTCAATTGTGGCTTGCTTAAGAGGCTAAAAGTGCTGTTTGATAATCCTCCTTGTCTAAGCTGCCGGCACAGTGCTTATGAATGGCTCTTACAAGTTCAGAGGCCCTGTGGTACCAGGAAAAGACCAGGCTGACTGTCCAGACTAGAAGTCTTGCATTCTGTAACTCCAGTTTCTTTGTACTTTATTCTTTTTCCCATTCATTTTGCTGTGCATATGTATACTCCCTCCGTGTGTCTTTTGGTCAATTCCACTCTGGTGCTGAGCTCTACTGGGCTTCAGGGAAATTGAGACCAGTATAGTCCACTATAATCAGAGATTTCAGAACATGTTTTGCAATAAGTAACAATGTTGATAGTTGCATGGGGGACATGAGGGATTTGTCTTAAGTGCTAAGACCATTTCGCCTTATCTTTCTGACATTTTTCAACAGAGAATAAAGACAAGTTTTGCCTTTTCATTCTCTTTTATGCAAGCCCTAAGTGGATGAGAGCATAACTAGAGGCGCAGCACGATCGAGAGTCTGCCTGACTGGCTGTCTATTCACTTGTTCAGGAGGAGAAGCTACAATCTTGTCAGCCTCAGCCCTCACTGTGTTATTGTGACGAAGCCTTCGGTAATTTGAAATCAGTGCATCCAGAGGCATACAATCTGTATGCAGGCAATCACAAGTGCATTGTATGATGTGTGGCTCGGAGAGAGAGAGAGAGAGAAC